GGATCTGAAGAGTTCAGCTCCTCTTTGGGTCAAGGCCCTTGGACAGTGATGAATGAAAAATACAGGAAAGGATATGAACAAACTATTGCAGCTTCCTGCAAGCACCAACAACCCAGAGACCTTCAGCCAACATCAGGGCATGAACCAGAAAAGAGGAAAGTTGGCAGAGGATGGGATAACTGGACGTGAATATAGGCTGGGGAAAGAGGCAATTGCTTTCACAGGACCTCTGAGCTGCCCCGTTCCTGGCAGACTTCCCATTCCCAAACATTTTAGAATTAAATTAAGGACACTTTATTCACTCCAAAAGCAATTAAAAAGAAAAACACATTTAAAATATAGCTCTAGCAACAATAAGCAATTAGTCTTTGATAATTGTCCGTGTCTTCCTATTTAATCACTCTTTTGCAGTGCCCAGTATGCTGATAACAGATCCCAACTGGTCCCATTATCATTCTTGCCAAATTGTTCCCAGTTTGTGTCTGTTCTTAACTCTGTGATGGCAACGGGCTGAGGATGCTGCAGCATCCCATGGGACTCGCTTGCAAAAGGATTCCTCAACCTTGTCATTTGCCCTGAATAAGATTTCTTCCTCCAAATCAGTGCAATGTTTATGTCCAATTTTAAACTCTAAGACATGTGACCAGCATTCAGTTTTAGCATTACTTGATCTTGGCTATGAACATCTAAATGCTGTACAGCCTTCTTCCATTAACTCCCAATAATAGGGTCATGCTGGCTGAGGAGGGAAGAATGAACATGACTCTGGGGTTTGACTGCCTCCAGCTTCTACTTGGGATCTTAAAACCTGAAAACACATTAACCACAGATTTATTTCAGAAATGTGTCAGTTCAGTTTAACCTCCCTGGTTTTGGTGGGAGTTATTTTACTTCACACATACCTTTTATGACAGACATTTCTCCTTCCTTAAGAAACTGCTGGCACATGGATGGCACCTGCTTGTCTCATCCTCTGGCAGCCAAGATAACCTGTGATTTGGTGCTTTGCCCAATTTTCTGTCAAGTGAAAATCACTTCAGAGTTTATACTGCTTGTGTCCAGTCCTAAGCTAAACGCGCAAAGGCAGATCCCTAAAATTTTAAGATGCTCAAAGCTCTGTTTTCCAGTAAGCCTGAGCTCCTTTTGACTTATTTTAAAATACTCCATGACATGGCCCTAGCTTGCTTAAGTAGTCTCATTTATGAATGTGGCCCAAACCTTTTTTATCTGTTCATCACAAGCAGGTTTGACAAAATTTCTTTTTATTATCTGCTACGCAGCCAGGACGTCAGGCTGGCATACAGTGTGTCTTGTGTTTGAAATTTCACAAGCCTGGGATTTGCATGCTATTTTAAGTTATTGAAATCTTCGTTCCTTCATTCCTACAGCTTGTCTGCGTCAGGACTACTTTCAGAGCATTCTTATCCAGCCTCTTGGAGAAAAAAAAAAGGAGAGGACAAAAATCTTTACAATATACTTAAACAAAACTAAAACATGCTAGAATGTATCATGTAACACCGCTTTTGGTATATTGGCAACTTTGTGCACAACCTCTGCAGGAACTGAACTGAATCATAGAATACCCTGAATTAGAAGGGAACACACAAGGATCATTGAGTTCAACTTCTGGCTCTGCACAGGACAAACCTCAAAATCACACCATGACATGACTTTACCAACAGTTTACTGAATGCAAACACCTCTTTCTTCACTGGTTGCTTAATGAGACTTTAAATTTTCTCCCTTTTCCCTGCCATTCTGCAGTGATTGATGTTGGACAAACCTCTCCCCCTGTAGAAGAGATTTTGAAAAGCCTCATGCCAACTTTGTCAGAGTTTCTGAATTGTGGCTGCAGAAGTTAATGGTAAAAAAGGAGCCTATAGCACTTTGTGCTGTTTTGGGAGCATTTCTCAACCAGGTTTAGTCCAGACACTGGCAGGATTGCAGACCTCCAGGGAGTGTTACCTGCCCTAGAAATCAGTGATAAGGGTGGTGACTGGGGCACATTTGCTATGGAGATGGCAATGAACTACAACTGCTCACAAGAGAAGTAATGCCTATCTAACAGCAGAGACACAAAACTAGGATCCTGTACTCAATTCTGTGCATGCAAAGTCAAATATGTGAGCTCATTCACACAGCTTACCTATCCAAACTCTTATGGAATATTGAAATATGGAAGTGGAATTTTTTTTTTGCTGGATTTTCTACCATCTCAAGTGGAAACAGTATTTTCTGCATTACCCATTCAACAAGTACACAGTGGTGTGCTTGATTCTTACACAGGTAACACCTAATAGAGAGTTAATTTAAGTTGCTGGTTAAACTAATCCTATGTGTAGTATAATTGTCTTTTTTGAGGCCTTTAGGAAGAGATCTGTGAGGTACTGTCTGAGGCAGAAGGACCTCAAATGCAGGTGAGAAGAGAGATGAGACAGCAGTATCTCCATGGCCAGATGTACAGAGACACCCGTGCAAGATGCTTTAAGTAAGCAAAAAAAAAAAAAAGTTATACTGATTATTTGAAGAAAAATTGTGGGTCTGTGACTCATTTTCCACGCTTGTCACAAAAAAAATAACCATGAGACACTGCATGAGATGTCCAGGCTGTAAGAATTTTTTGTGTCCTCGTAGATCAGCCACAGCCTGGTCCGAGATAATGTTTAACCCCCTATTAGCAGGCAGGTAGATGATTTACCACACTTCAGTGGCTGTGTAAACACGAGCAGTAGGACACTGAGCCTCACGGGCCTCCTTTAGCCCAGCCACGACTGAAATGCAATGATCTGAGCTGAATGAGGGATATCAAACCAGGCCAGCCTACCTGTGCTCAGTGCCCACACACTGGGGGTGCTCAGAAGCAGAGGTGCCCACTAAAATGAACATATTCTTCATAAAGTTTCTTTGAATTTCACTCACAGCTTATTTCAGTCTGATGGCTCTTAGTTGTTTCACTTGCCAATGGATTGTGTTAATTTTTTCCCATTTTCCCTATGTATGATTAGTCCACTTTTGCATTAAGGCATGAGACAATAATCCAGGCAGATTTGAGCTGGAAACTCTCAAACCCTACTATGACTTCTTTATTCTGATTGCATCCTGCTTCTATATCATGACCTGTCTCAAAATCCAATTTGAATGCACAAAAGAACTGCAATAATAGATATGTGTAGATAGAAGTTTCCAGTCATCCTCTGTGACACAAATCCATATTTTTCCTCGCTAGATTGGATATGAACACTCAAATAACAATCAAGTTTACCGAAAACAAGAAATCTTTAAGCCTAGAGTCATCAAACCAAACTACTTTTGGCCTTTCTCAGAGATATTTCTGTTAATAATTTACTACTTCTAAAACTGAACATGCTCAAAATCTAGCTCCTGAATTTTTCATGAAGTCCTTTTCTATCCATACCTGTCTTAATTTCAGAAATAAAATCAGACTCCTTCCTGCCAATCTCAGCTTTCACTTTGACTTGATATCCTCTCATGACTCACTCCTCCAGCCTGTGATTAAATTCTGATGCCACTTTCCAGAAAACTTCTCCAAAACTGACCTTTTTGCTCTGCCTACACTGCCAAGCCCTCCTCTGAGATCTAACTGGATTATACACCTCAAAAATTAAAGTGACTTCATCTCTTCTTTTGACACCTCCAAACTTTCTATTCCCCTGAAGCCCTTGCACCAAAGATCATCCTACAGGTCCATCACCTGGCTGTGTCCACATGGCACCTTGCATGGATCTCATTCCCAGCTTTCTAGATAGAGCAGAAAAGCTCAGCCCAAGCTAAATTCCCAAATAATGACCCATCTTTTCCTGTGCCAGCTGAAACCCATTGCTGAGGTCACACAGTAATAACCACAGAAACCTGGTGATTGCTGCAGAGGTGGCAAACTGTGCTCACTGCTCCCTGTGGGCCACAACCTCTGTGCAAAACTATTTATCTCTCATTACTCTGTTGTATTATTTTTTTCTATTCCTCCCCCCTGCTCACCTTTTTTTTACATATACCATATATATCTTTATAGCATAGAACACAGACATATATATATTTATATGTGTGCATATATTTATATAGATATAGATATAGATATAGATATAGATATAGATATAGATATAGATATAGATATAGATATAGATATAGATATAGATATAGAATGCTGAACTATAAGCACTCAGAGACAAGACTATAAGCTCTTAGGGACCACAATACTCATGTTCCTAAGAGCTTAGCAGAACCATTTGTATGGCACCTAGAACTACACAGACCTATTTTCCTGGGATGTGAAGAAGGCACTGCTAGAGAATAAAAACAATTAAATAAAAACAAAACAAAACAAAACAACAAACCTAACCCTAAATAAATTAAAAATTTATTTATTTATGTATCTGAAATCTCAAATCTGATGGGGAAAGGAAGGGAGCACTGAACCAGCTTTCAATGTGGGAACACTGAGACATTTTAGAGAGGAGTTAGCCTGTCCTGGGAAGAGAAGTAAGGAGTTCTCATTAAGTAGAAATGAACTAATAAGCTAGCAAAAAGAATTAAGAGGGGAAGGTGATGTCCAGAAGATAGAGAAAAACATCTTAATTGTAAGTTTTCAAAATCCCCATGCTGGCTCATTGAGGTACCAGCTCCTTACAGAAATAACTCTTACACTAAACCAAAGGCAAAGCCTGAGGATTTACAGGACATGCAGGAAGAGCGTAGAGGGGATAAAAGAAAACCCAACCACAAGGAAAAGTAAATTGAAATAAAAATAATGTTGTTTAAAGGAGAATTCTCTGAGAAAAGACTTAATGTAAGAGCCTAGAAATCCTTTCTTTCCCATCACTGAATTCTGAGGGAAAGGAAACCTCAAATATCAGCACAAGGGAGTGCACAGAGGATGAAAACTTTGTGTTTAAAAAAAACTGCAAATATGACATTGTGGGGAAGAGAAGAAAAGAAACACTGAGTTCGGCTAGACAGAGTAAAAAATTAAATCCTCTCCATACCCAGGACTGCAAGCCATGCCTTGGGCTTCATCTGTCAAGTGCTGCAAAGCATTCCTGCAAACCCTTCTCCTTTTCATTGACAACCCGGGTGGCAAAACCTTTTTCCTCGCTCAAACTCTGCAACTGTGCTCCAGCCTGGAGAGCTGCTGGGAAAATGAGCAATGAGCAGGTGTCAAATTCTGTCCTTTTATCTCTGGCTTTTAAAAGACAGACACAATTATGTGCAAATCAGCGTAGTGTGGCAGCTGATTAAGTCCCTTTTCTAAGAATTATTTTCCCAAGGCTCTGTGCACAGGCCAGCCAGAGCTATCAGCTCATCTGCAGACACTGTATGGTGGCTGCTCCACCTTCTAGAGACCCATGGACACAGAAACTGAGATGAGAAATTATTAATTTCTCATCCTCCACATCAGGCAAAGAGCCCTGCATTGTTTGACAAGGCCTCTCTGGCACAGTCTTTCCATGGTTTATGTATTTTGAGATTATCTGGGTACATTTGATACACAGTAGTAGAATACCCAGTAAATGAAATGAGGTTGTAAAGTACAGCAAGTTGAGAAAGTTGAAAAACTAAAGGTGAAAGTCTTCAAAATTCAGTGTATAGAAAGACTTTAAGGCTTCCTTAGTCTATGTCTGAAGTGTATCATCCTGTGAATTTACATATGGAGTGTAAAGAACTGCATTGTGTTTAAACCTACAAAACAGGAACAGAAAATCCTCCCAAGCCTTATCACCTGCTGAGACCAGACTTTTAACTTGATAAAAATCCAAGGATTTACATTACCTAGGGGTCTGGCAAGTGATTTTTACTTAGTCATGCTGGAAAATAGAGTTGGGGAGTTTTGAATTAAAAAAAAAAAAAAAAAGAAGAAGGATAAAAGAAAAATGGCTTTTGATGGTTTGAACTGATGTAAGAAAGGAAGCTACCCATATCATATCAAATGGAAACTTTCCTTGCAGTCTTAATAAAAAGCCTGAGTGTACTTCCAGGGATCCTGGTTGCCACCCCAGCCCCAAAAATTGTGACCCTGGGAGGACAGTACTAAATAAAACCTCCTGATGCCATCTACATCAGTGCTGCTGTTTGCATAAGCACAGCTCCAAACTGTGCATGTGAGACATGCCCCTCAGTGCTAACTGATCACCCTTACATCCAAACCAAGAGAGGTTATATACACATCCTCATGATGCAAAGAGGAGAGGAAAAAGCATCTTTTTGTCCTGATACTTTCCAAACAAAAGAAGTAGAAGTTTTCAGCGCCAGGGAAATTTTTTCCAGAACTTTCCAGGTCTCAAGCAACAATTTAGGCTATGCTTTTCCAAAAATATCTTCGAAGTAGGAGAGTGAAGAGAAGCTCATGAGTTGCTTGGAAAGTATATAAAGCAAACAGTGACATATAATGGAAACTGTTCCCAAGAGCATTTGCGATTTCAGCAAGTACACAGCACTGGGAGTTAACCACTCTATTATGTGGGTTGTCTTTTCCAGCATTAATTTGTGAAAAAGTCCATCTTTTACGCACTTGAAATCCAAACAAAAGAACAAATTAAGAGAACTAAGCACAAAAACCATGCTGGGCAATAGAGTGCTGCAGACAAACGCTGCCAGTAATCTATATTCACATTGTATTGCATGAACTGACCCAGAATTAACTATGGCTGCCCTCTCCTGGAAAACTCTCTGGAACAAATGAAGTTCTCTCATCCACTTCCATTAATGGCATTAGCATGCTTGGTGGCAAGACCACAGCAGAACAACTGGATAAACAGCTACAAGGAAGCAGTAACAAGTGACAATAGAATGGAACTGTTTTTCCACAGAGGTCTTGAATAGATATTCCAGTCCCTCTTGTAAACCAGGGACACAACTGAGCTCACTAAGAAGATGCAAACTGTAGTTCCTGGCTTTTAAAATGGATGGCAAATGTCAGGATGGGAGGAGGAAGAAAACAACTTGCAGTCAATTCATAGAAGTTCTTCACATTCAGATACCTGAGAGGTTTAGGAAACTTCACTGGAAATCTTAATCCCCTTGAGGCTCACTGGTCAAACACAACATGAGCCTATGAACTCCAAGTGCTGGCACCAGGCTCAGCAGATCCTCCTGCTATGTCTTTGTGCATATCTCGAGAGCACTTTCTTCACTCTTCAAACAAAGATGGAATTCCAAGAAGAAATGAGGATGGGAAAGGATGTTATTATGAGTCAGAAAAATGTCTTGACCCAAAGTCTCAACGTTATTGCTAGAATGCAGGAAAGGTGCAGGTGGTTTCAGCCTCCTATCCACAGCTAAATAATCACCTATCAGGAAACCATTTATAGACCTTTCTTCTGAAGGCATTTTTTGGTTGAGTCCACTCAGTATGAATCTCTTAAAATCCTTTCTTGAGAAATAACAGCATAAGATGATAATTTTGGAAGATCACTGGCCAAATCCAAGTTATTACTTCTTCCATTAAGGTGTCACTGAGTCATATGTAGTGATAAGAGCACAGAATTACATGCTAATATTGTAGAAACACGGTGAGATTTCATTAGATTTAGTTATCAAACTGATCAATAGAATATCCCTGATCAAAACAAATGAAAGGAAAATCAGAGGTAAAGAATTAATCACCTTCATGAGAAGTTTGACTTTGAAAGAGTCCTAAAAATTGCATCAATCTTAAATATCCATCAGAGTAGAATAATCTGTTAAATGAAGCATTTCATTCAAAACTACAAAGTTCAGTTCATGCATTTTAGAAGCTCAGTAGTAAATATCTACAAACATAGGGTTTTGCTACATTTTTCATTGTTTTCCTCTTTATCCTCAGGTTGTTCCTGACCATTTTTTAATATCTCTTCTTTTTGCTTCTGACAGCATCTACAGTGTACCAAGCCCTAGATGAGAACAGGCAAAATCTGTGCCCTTAAATAATCACTTTGTCACATAATGACCAGAGAAATCTCCATGTATGCAATGAGCCCTTTCAAATGCCACATTCAATCTGCCTCAATGAAAAGTAGCTGTAATAGGAGGCAGATGCTCCCCAACAAGTTTGCCAGCTGTTGAAGTGTTATCCAGATGCTGTGCTCACTGAACTCCAAACACACAACCTTTCAGGAAAATGGAACTTGTTCCCTGTCTTAAAAATGCTGAGCCAAGACCTTTATCACCATAAAATGCAGTAAAGTAACTCTGCTCCTGGTTTCCTTCACAAATACAGAACAACAGACCCACAAAACAAAGCACCAAAATATTACAGAAAAATAGAGGAGAATTGTGTTTGACAGGAAAGATCGATTCGAGCTGCCTTTAAAGACCTGAATAGTATAAAACTCAACTGTAGCCTCCACCCTCTTGTTTTCCCAATTCTATTTTTAGCTGGGTTCCATTTTTACCTTCCAGAGCATGGCAGCCTCAAGGAAAAAAATGCTTTGTATGAGCAAAGTTTTATTTCTTCTGACACTTGTTTTGAGATCTAATATAAATAAATATCACTACCTTCTCTCTATAAAAGACTAAAAATTTAAGTGCTTGAAAATCAGGCAAGGTTGAGTTATTCTTAAACTAATGTAAGTATTTCTCTAAGAAAATAAACCAGTTTATGCCACAATGTGCCAACGTCTGCTATTAACAACATTCTGAAAATGATTTTTTCTTGAAGGCATGGCACTAACAGGAACTGAATATTCTCTCACATCAAAGAACAACTACCAAAGACCAGCAGGAGGTCTGTTGGTATTTAGAAGTTTTATTTCATTTTTAACATCTCAAAGTCATTCAGCAGAATGGATTGCTGTCTTTATCATCCCAAAGCACCTCATTAAACAAAGTGAGTTAATCAAGTATATTCTGCTAATGAGAAAACATGATGAAAAAAGTTCAGAAAAGTGGGAATAAGGAACAAAATTCACGAGAAGAAAACATCCTTTCAACCTAGAAACATGCTTGTGGCTCATAAAATGTAAGCTGCAGTTTGGTTAACAAAATATAAGCAGTAATTATGTCTTGTGTGAGTAAATAGTAATTAACCTGGTCAAAAATACATGGGCATACTTTCTGATAGGAGTCCATGGGGATAATTTCTGTCCTGCCCATGGTTTGATGGTCGAGAAAGGAAGAGTCTTCCAGTTTTATGATAAGATTCTATAATTAATATACACAACTGTACACCCTGTATGGCTTTGGCATTTGGGTCATTTGCATTTATTGAAAATTTACCCACTGGGACCTTGCTGAAATCATGATAGGTATTATCTATGTATGCATCCACTAGACTTATAGGGAAATACAGGCAGTCACCCATTCCAGGTATCAGGTTCATTTTTAAGACAGCTAACTGATTAACTATTAATAACAGTTAATAACTGATTAACAGCTGGAAGCTGTCTATACATAACAGCTGCATCAGGCACATTTAACCATGGCAACTTCCTTTGCCCTTTGACCACACATTTGAGAGTCACTGTAGCATTTCAGATCTTGGGAGTTCTCATACATTCCTGGCCCATCCCTGTCCATAGCTCAGTAAATATAGAATTTTCTTCCAAATTATGCCTGTGCAGAAGGACTCCTTCCTATCCCAGTAACAGCTTTTCTATGCCTAACAGTACAAGGTCTGATAATACCTGGAATATTTCTACTTGATACCAAGATGGAAAAAGGGCTTCATTTGCTCAGTTAGCCTTTCCCCTGCAAATGCAGGAGTATTTCATGCATATATTTACTCATGCATTGTGAATTTATGGACTCACAATAACCCCAGCAATATATCTAAATATTTGAAAGCAACCGTGGCAGAATCGCTTTGGAAAATCCTTCTGAGAATGGCATGACGTTAATTTTCTTGCAGTCTACTGAAATATTTACACAAATCTTTGTTCTATGATGTGATTTGCCTGTTAATAACACTGAGCAGCAATCTACCTTGCCTAGACTTATCAAAATGGTCCTAAATACTTGACTCCTGTAATGAGAATATGCATTGTCTGGAACTTTGGACTGTAATGTTCTCTTGGATCATTTGCAAGCGTGGCTCTTTATTGCTTGGCCATGGCATGAAATGCCATCAAAGCCAGCAAACACCATTTCCCTGACTGCCCACTCACCAAGTCCGGGGTAGAACAAAAATATGACACAGGCTGTACTGAGAGCCCTGGAAAACCACCTGCCATCTTTGGCTCTGAGAGCTGTGCAATTTGTCCTTTGCAGTCACAGGAATGGCCTTTCTGTTGAGATTTCCAGGAGAGAAAAATACAGCAGTCAATTAATAAAGCAGCCAAAGTTTTTCTGCAGGTTGTTTCACTAATAAGCAGAGCCAGTATTACGATTGCAGCTTTTCCAGCTTCTCTGCTGCCTTGCAGAAAGAGACCTGGAGCAACGAAGGTAACAGTGATTATATGAAGTGTGCCCTAATACTTCTGAAAGCATTATTATTCAGAAAGATCACTCAAGTAAGGGGGAGATAAAAAATTCCTTTCTTCTCCAAAGACTAAAAATTTGTTTACTTGTCTGGTTGCTTTCTCTTACATTTCTCTCCTTTATCTACACTGCATTGCTGTCACGGTTCTGTTAAATTGGCAGCACCCAAAGGATGCCTCAGGAATGAATGAATTCCTGCTGAAAGCTGGTATCACATATCTAAAACACCAAA